AGCTGTGGAAGGAGCCTTGATGTCCTTCAACAGACAAATGGATAAAGAAGATGTGGTCTATATATATACAATGGAACATTACTCAGCCATCAGAAAGGATGAATACCCACAATTTGCTTCGATGGACGGAACTGGAGAGTATTATGCTGAGTGAAATAAGTCAATCTAGAGAAGGACAATAATCATGTGGTTTCACTCATTTGTGGAATATAAGAACTAGTGAACGGGATTATAAGGGAAAGGAGGGAAACTGAGTGGGGAAAAATTAGAGAGGGAGACAAACCATGAGAGACTCCTAATTCCAGGAAACAAACAGGGTTGCTGAAGAAGAAGTCTGTGGGGGGATACAGTAACTGGGTGACAGGAACTAAGGAGGGCACTTGATAGGATTAGCATGGATGTTATACTATATGTTGGCAAATTGAATTTAAAATAAAAAAATAAAAGAGATACAAACTAGAATAAGAATGTGCCAGAAGTATGGTACCAAGGAAGTGTTCTAAGAATGCAGACGCTCTGAAGTAACCTAGAAACAAAAAAAGAAATCACAGGCCCTGCTTCAAACTATTTCTTATCCAATATTGCTTTATTTCAAGCAGATTATTTACAGTAGACAGTGTTCCACCAGTCCATGCAAATATATGCTATCAAAAAATGTATTAACTTGTATTTTACCTTTATTCCCCCAAAAAAGGATATAGTCATATCCCATAATAGTAACTATTATATACTCATAGTATTGTGTGTGCCAAGCACTATGATGAGACCATTATATATATATATATATATACTATTTCAGTCAATCCTTACAACAGCTCTGCCTTCAGAAGGCATCATCGTCCCCCTTCTCACAAATAATATATCATTTAAAGTATCCTTGTACTTTATCTTGAGATATCTCAAAAACGATACACCTGGGGGGCCTGGGTGGCTCAGCTGGTTAAGTGACCAACAGATAATTTCAGCTCAGGTCATGATCTCAGGGTTGTGAGATCAATTTCCCCAACCCCCCACCTCTCCTGCCCACCCTACCCCCAACCGCTGAGCTCCACGCTCAGCAGGGAGTCTGCTTGAGATTCTCCCTCTGCCCCTTCCCCACTCACATGCTCATGCACATGCACTCTATCTAAAATAAATAAATAAATCTTAAAAAAAAGAGACTCCTGATGAATCTAACACCACAAGTACATTCTCAATCTACAAAGTTCACCACTTCTAAAACAAAATTGTTAAGTCCTATCTAAATATTTAGAGAAGAGCAATAACATCTACTTATTCCACAGGATGATATAGAGATTAAGAATAAATTCCCCAGATCATACATATTTACATTGAAAATCAATTGAATTAATTTATTGGTCAAAAATTATCAAATTATTATTTGATTATTTATTTAGCAATTTATATAGTTCAACTTTAATACATGACAAGTAAAAACAAAACAAAACAAAACAAAACAAAACAACCTTACTTTAATCAAGGTGACCCTTTCATTAGCTCAGACAAAAAATAAAGTACAAATAGAGAATTTTACAGAGGAACACTTTTCCCTACAACACTTCTCAGGAATCAAGAGAATGACTATGTCAGTTGGTTCTCCATGTGAGTTGATTTTTTCATCCAAGATGATTTCATCTTCAATTCCCAGCCTATTTAGTTTCTCTATGTCTGGCACAAATTTTATTTCAGTTCAACAATATATTAAATACCTACTTACTATGTTCTAAGCCATTTTCTAGGTGTTAGGGTTTTCTTACCCATCTCATTCTGTGGTCTCTCATTAAGTATTAGCACACTAAAGACATAGCAGTCTACAAATGTCACTTGACTCAAAGAATGTACTAAATGCACTTTCATTAAAAGTACAGGAAAGTGAAAAAGTTCTCACTTCGGTGCATAAGAAAATACCTAAACTTAAGTATATTAAGTCCAAGTCATAAAATTTCATAAAAAATAATGCCGGTACTCTTTTGTATAAGAAATAGATTTTAGAAAGCAATAGATAACTTTCTCTTCAAGTACTGCATTCATTGTTGGAAAAATCTTAAGACATAATAATGAAAAATCAATAAGAAATCCAAACATTCAAGGTTTTTGTCTTCTTTATGCACTAAAAATGTTTCCTTGAGGTCCTCTATAGCCCTGCAACCTCAAGTGTGCTCTGTGTACAGAAGAAGCACCATCCTCACCTGGGAGCCTGCTACAAATGCAGATTTCTCATTTTTCATCCCCAACCTGCAAGATCCAAATCTGCATTTTATAATGATTTGATGGTGATTTCTATGCAGATTAAAATTTCAGAAGCACTTAACTTATAACCTGTGTTCTTAACATGGCTTCTGAGGGCAAACTGAGTTTCAGAAATCCCCTGAAATTTCATGCACAACTTTTTTGAGTGAATACATGTATATTTCACTGGGGAAATACACCATATATATTTTTTATCAAACTCTCAAAGAAATATATGAACCCAAATAGATTAAGAATCACTGCCCTACAGGATTCTGTGCCACAGTTTAGAAGTCAAAATATTTCAAAAACTATTTATGCTGCTCTCAATGAGGCCTGTTGAAGAATGACAAGAATGAAGGTCAGAACGTCACAGTGGGTCACGAAAGATCTTATCTGAAGAATTTATTCACACCATGCAAGAACTATGCCAAGAAACCAGTTTGGAGACATCTAAATAAATAATTCTCTACATGAGGTTTGAGATTAAGAATGTGCACTTGAAGAAGATTCAAACTGAGAAGTAAATAAATAGAAGGTACGATTTTTTTTAAAGATAGGATGCCATTAGATGACAGTGAAGTGCTGAATTCTTGTTGTAAGAGCTCAATCAGCAAATCTCTAACAGGATTCTGTTTGATTTGGGATATATGACCATTTTAAAATGTTAACTTCCAAGTACATTCTTATAATACTTCATTTATGAGAAACCCTCAACACATTTCATAGTCCCAATTTATCTTCTCTGGGCCTCAGAAGACAAAACAAAGAAGAAATATAGCACAAAAACTAAAGAGGATTTGCACAGGATCTTCAGTGAGCTCATGATAAAGAATGGCTTGTATCCATAAGGTTCTCACTATATGTGAGAACCATGTATATATTTCATTCTTCCACCTTATCATCTAGCCATCTCTGAGGTATATATTATTGAGGGCATAGACTATGTCTAACTTCTGTTTTCCTTAGGCCACAGTGCCTTATAAGAATTTAATTTCCTTAACAGGTACCCAAAATGTAAATGAAAGGCATTAAGTATTCTTTCTTGATTCTGATGCTTGCTTGTACCACTACTAAGTTGCCATCAGTGATGGGCCTAATACCTGAGAATCTGGTCTTCAGGGTAGATCCATATCCTACCATAACAGTCACTTCAAGCAAGAAGAGAGGATGCTAGAAAATACTCAGGAGAACCAAGTCTTCTCTGCCCCTTTCTGTTTCTGTAGATATCAGGCAAGTGCCTGGTTCTTTTCTTAGCTCTATTTCTTATCCAGGTGCAATGGGGATTTTGATGAAACTCTCACACATTGTTAACTACTAATGTATCTCATTTATGTAATAAACACATCCTGATGAAGAATATGACAGTAGTGATACATAACACAAGGTGGCAAAAAAGATTAACAACAGAACAGAAACTAACATTTGCTGACCACCTTTTATGGAGCAGACACTTGTACAATCCTATGACATAGACTACGATTTTTACTTGACAGATGAAGACTCAAGTTTCAACAGATTCAACAGTTACCTAAAATTCCCAAGTTAGACCGTGGCAAGTTTGGGGGTATAGTTTTTGGGTGAGAGGGGGATTAAGAATAAGAAGGGCAGTCAGACAGAACAAAGAACAAAGATGGAGAAGACCGTAACCCCAATTTTATCTGAAGAAACGAAACAATGCAAAAGAGCCAAGTACTTAAAGGCAAACAACTGACAGAGTGCAGGCATAAATGGTTCCTCACACATGTCAGTGGACATTTAAAAAAGTAAGTGATGTGAGTAATAATGATAATTTTAAAAAACAAAATATAACAAAATGGCAAAGCCAGGATCTAAATGCAATCTGTATGACTCCAGTGTTCATGCTCCTGATCACCACATTCACAAAGAAACTGATCCAGTTTATTCAAATGGTAAGTATTTAGAAAAACATTTTAATAAGAAATCTCAAGTATTCCCAGTAGTTTTATTTTTAAAAACACATTAAATTTACTTCCAACAACAAATCAGGATATAAATACATGTACTAGTTAAGCCAACTGAAAGTGATACAGAACTGATCTAAGAGGTTATGGATGTCACAAAATTCCCAGATTCTCCATAATTGCTCATGTATTTATTTCTTTCAGAAATCCATTCTCAAATTTTTGGAGCCTTTTTCTATTATTAATTTAAGACCCCTTTATTTGTACCCCACTGTTTAAAGCAACATCTTTTGTCTCAAGTAACCATGTTCCAGTTCAGAGGAGGTCACCTATATCTTTCTCTATGTCAGGTAAACTCTACTTTTTCCTTAATGTAGTAACCAGTTGGTATATAGTCAAAAACCTTGAAACTTAAAAAATAAAAAATGGTTAAGTATATTCAAAATCTAAACAATTCGAATCTAAAATACCATGGTGTATCTCCAATTTCCTTGTATTGATGCCCATTTGTGTTTAAAATGGTATTTAATATCCATAAGATCACACAAGTTGTATTACCTGGGTAAATTCTTTATCACATCTCAAATATACTACATTTAAACCTAACATTATGGGCACCTGGGTGGCTCCATCAGTTGGGTGCCTGCCTTCAACTCAGGTCACAATTCCAGGGTCCTGAGATTAAGCCCCGCAGTGGGCACTCTGCTCAGCAAGGAGCCTGCTTCTCCCTCTCCTATTGCTTGCCTACTCTCTCTCCCTCTCTCTCTCAAATAAATAAACATAATCTTAAAAAAAAAAAAGTAAACCTAACATTAGTCTCATTTCCCCAGTTCAAATGTTGGTTACCTCTTCGTCATCTTCCTCATCTTCAACATCCAGGATTCCTGAATCCTGTTCAGACTTGGGGCTAGTGCTTTCTAACTCTGTATCAAAAATTGTGTACACGTCTTTCTTAGATTTTCTCTTGCTACCTATTCTGGGTTGTTGCAAGACGATGTTATCCAAGTTTCTTTGCTGTTGTGCCTAGGATAGAAACACATACACACGCATTAAAAAAGAAGAAAGAAAGAAAAGGACTTAATTCAGCATTCAAAGAACTTCTAATTTTGAACAAGTTGGGGTCTTAAAGAAAATACAATAAGATGTCTTAAGACAGTTTTAGTCCCAGAAATAAAATCAAACACATTAATATATACATTTTTTAATCCTGAAGTTACTCATCTTGATTCATTTCCCAGAAAAGAAGATAATCAGTTGATGTTATCAGAAGACTTTCCAAATATACTCACTACATCACCACAAAAATGAAGCCTACTCTTCTTCACCTACACAGCTAAGAGATTAGTGCAAATGACTAAACATACATCTCCCACGAGATACATGCCATGCTGGGATCATTGTGGTTGAGGGAAGAGGGACAAGAGCTTTTTAGCTTAGTAGACCCTTGAGAACAGTTCTGTGGTTATAAGAGACCAACAAATGTAATCAGGAGAATGAAACATCTTAATAGAGTAATTTGAACTAACTAATCCTTCAGAATTGCATGATCTTAATCTGTGTAAAACAGAATTTTAAAGGGTTTCTTCTTCTGAACTTTCATAAAAAGGAAATGTAACCCACTCAGCTTTATAAAACAGATTCAGATGGTGTGGTTTCAATCCATGCAAAGAAGTGGAAAGTGTGACTATGTGGAGTCAGTGACATAAGTATTAAACCACACGGTGCTAGAGCTGAAAGTGACCTTAGTCACGACTCAGGGAACTGAGGCTGGAAGACAAAAGATTTGTTTGAGGTCACAAGGCTAGTTAGTGGTCAAGTAGAAGCTCAATGTGTAATCTCCTAAATCCAGAGGAGAAATCTTCCTACTACACCAATAGTTCCTCAAAGCATGACAAAGTATTTCCCCCACAAAAGGTTCTGTTGTTGAATACATGGGAAACACTGTTGTCATGGAGCCTTGTAGGTACAAAATGCACATTAAGAGAATAAAAATTGAGAGAAATCTTTTTTAAGGAAACTTCTTTATTTGGTTTAACCCAGCATGTTCCAAAATATTTCACAATGGAGCTTCCACTATTTTTTAAATAATGCTCAGTGTCATCCCAAGACACAAAGCTTAAGAAGTATGGTCTCTCAAAATATGCATTTCTTAATCAATATTTGACATTTCCCCTCAGTGACAGGCAGAAATTAGTTCTGGAGAAAATCAAAGTCTCCAAATATTCTGAATGAGATTAAAAAATTCAAGATAAATAAATATTAAGTATGTTAGTCCAGGCACTGGTTAAATGAGACAATTATAATAGGACAGAGAAAAACTTGAATTATGGGAGCCAGTTTCTGCCAAGAAAATGAAAAGAATCTACATTCCAGAGATTTGAATCAATGGACAAGCTTGTTTCCATGCATAATATTCACTGATATTTTGGTTTGACTTACATAAAATATACATGGCTTCAGTAACAAACTGAAAAAGAGAGGTTACCCAAAAACATTTAATTTATGTTTGTACATAAAATATCTTATCCTCCAAGCATATGAGAACCTCAATTAGATAAAAGTCTTTCAAAAGTAAGAAGTTCTTTTCCACTTTCAAGCAAATCACACAAAAAAGGATTAAGGACTCTGGGGAAGCACAAAGGAAGGGAGAACTTCCTAGAGCTTTCATATTAAAAAAAAGCAAGCCCTACACTAGAGTGATCACTTGTCTTTTAATCCTGTCCTTTTTAGTACAGCAAAACTAAAAGCTTTCATAAGGTGGTCTTAATCTATTCAATCCCAAATCATTTACTTTTCTTCACAATGGATAAAATACTACCAGTATATCAAAAGCAATCAAGAGGAGCCACATTCAAGTACTGTCATTTAAACTTGAAATGATACAAAACTGAAAGTATCCTAGGGAAGTAATTTTAGATCTTCTGTGATGTGTTCTTTTTAGGTGCTGCCGGATTTTCCTAACAATGTAAAGAAACGCTACGCAGTTTGGGCCAAATAGGTAAATTTAGATAGCAAACCCTATAGCTAGAAATCAAAGAACGGCAAATTGTAGTCCAAGGCTTTACCAGTACTTGAGGTCTCTCAAAATGATCAAGGCTTCTGTCTGTAAAAGAATAGTCAGGGCAGATCTGCTAAGCAGAAGCAGCCAAGTTGGAAACACGGAATATCAGGTAGAACAATGAAATATTAAAATATGAATGAAAATGAAAATTACCATGGATCTAAACTCTGTTATGGGACTGGCAGGAAGTGGGAAAGAGTAAATATAGATAGAACTATATAAATGCATGCAATATATGCTAAAATTAAAATGTAACACTAAAGTCCATGAAAAACAACAACAAAAGCCCTTCAGAGCTCTGTCCTAACATGCTAAACTATTTCACCAGGACCATTTATTCTGTCCCTCCAAAGACAACCTTTATAACCATGAACCAAAGCAGCAGCAGACTGATCTCTGCCATCTGTGTTGGATTGGGAGAGGAGGATACCAAGCAGACAAGTAGACCTTAGAAAGCACTAGGTGTTTTCTTTTTCTTAATTGTTCACTTTGCGACTAATTTTTATATACTTAATGACATCTTTCCCAAGATTCCTTCATATATATCCTTCTCTGATTTCCTAATATAGAGAAACTAAGCAAGATTTCTTCCTCAAGCCCTCTTCTCTTTCCACTCTGACCACTCTCCCAAGACTCAGTAGCATATCGCCTATACTGCTTGTGGGTTCTACTGCCACCTCACTTCCAACAGACCTAAAATGGAACTCATCACCTTCTCATTAGAATTACCCTGCATATTAGGGCCAGGCTTTTCTTAAGCCACAGAATTCATCACACAAATTGAACATGAGGGAAACTGGGAGAAAAAATTTAAACAAGTACAAATCCCAATACCATCCCAACTTCCCTTAGACTCCACCATAATGGAAGCTGAATCTAATTTTCCAATGTGCTTATCCAGTACTCTCTGCCATGAATCTTCAACTTGGATCAAACTCTACCACATAATACATTAGAAACAGTATGCCATTTCTCTACTGGATGACCTCTCCCTGCCTACATCCAACCTGTCTTCTGAATCCCAACTAGAACTCTTTTCCCTTAGGAAGCCTCCTTTCGCTGTGCTAACTCAGAGTGCACCCTCTCCATATCCCTAATGTCCGCCAAATGTGTACTGAATGTCTCTTGGTACCAGGCATTGTGCTGCATACCAGGCCTACAAAGAATCAGATGGAGTCCCTGACTTGTGAACCTTGCCTCATACTGTTACAGGAAGCAAAGAGAGGCAAATAAGTGGCTGAAATTTATGCAATAAGCATAATAACAGAAACACAGATGCATAATTAGACATAGGAGAAAGTAATCATATCTGCTTGGAGGGAATTCCAAATAGGCTCCACAGAGGAAGGAGTAGCAACCTGTGCTTTTAAAAGATTATGATTTTTGCCAAGGAAGATAGGTAATAGAATAAGCGTGAGAAAAGATCATCATGTGTGAAATAACATTACCCACCCAAGGAGTAAGTAATTCTGTATGAAAGCATAGGTGATAAAGAACTACCAAGAGATAAAGAAGCCATACAAAGTGGTCTGAAGTTTGCTAGTAGGCAAGGGAGAAACAACGAAAGAATGCAAGCAGAGGAAGACCTGGATCAGCTTTACAATTCAGGCAAATCCTCCAGGAGCAGAGGAGCAGTCAACTGGGAGAAGACAAGGACTAGAAACAGAAAACCCAATATAGATCACTAGGACAGTCCAAATAACGATGAGGACTTGAATTAAGGTAGGAGCAGACAGATGACTGGCAGAAGCAACAGAATTTACTGATTTCAGTGCAATACCTGGAAGAGAGGAAGGAAAAATAAGACTATTCTGGTCTTGATGACTAAAGGATGAGGTCTTCCAAACAGAAGAACCACAGAAATAATAGGTTGAAGGAGGATAGAAAAGAGGTATTCAGTAAATCTGTCAGGTAGTCAGGTTAAAAAAAAAAAAAAGACAGGACAGCACTTTAGTGGGTAACTCTTCTCTTTGAGGATAGGAAACACATTTCATCATTCTTAGAATCCCCCAAACCCAGATATGGTGACACATACGTAGTAAATTTAGATAAATGTTTACTATATAAAGGCAATGGATAACAAAAGAAATATATTAAGAATGAGATTTGGCTTAATTAAAGAGATGATTTGGATGTTCTCCTAACTAATAAAAAAGGGGAAAAACAGAAAGAAAAAAAAAAAAGAGGAGTAAACACCCATAAGAATTATCTGAACTGGACTATTAACCTAGTATGTCTACATATAAAAAATGTCTGCATATGTTAATAAATAAAGTTTTATTGTGAAATATAACTTCCAAGGGTACCTAGCAGTAAAACTCAGTTGAAATTCTGTGAATCAAATAGCAAAGGCTCCGGTCTTTACCAACCTAATACTGACCTCTAGTGGATTAAAGAAAATGACCTTCAGAATCAGAAACTAGCTAAAGAGAGGTCTCTAGGTGTATAGGTTTGGAGGCCTGACAGCCTGAGCTTCAATTATAGATAGATAGATGATAGATAGATAGATAGATAGATAGATAGATAGATAGATAGATAGATAGATAGATAGATAGATAGATGATAGATAGATAGATCAAGGGAGGGGGAAGCTTCCTGGAGTTAAGACAAGTCTATTTTTTTAATTTATTTTTTATTGGTGTTCAATTTGCCAACATATAGAATAACACCCAGTGCTCATCCCATCAAGTGCCCCCCTCAGTGCCCATCACCCAGCCACCCCCAAGGCAAGTCTTTAAATCTAAGCTCTACAATTTAGTAATTCTATAACTTTGGGTAAATTCTTTCCTTCTCTGTGTAACATCCCTATCTATTAAAAAAAAAAAGATTAAAAGAAATGTATCTCAGAGCTGTCACAAGGTTTAAATTAGATAATGTTATGTAAAGTACCTTGAATTAAAAGACAAGTCAAACAGAAAAAAAAAAAACACTAAGAATTTTAAGCTGCGCCTGTCTTCCCTCT